TCCAGCACATATTGTATGCCGTTTTTGTGGTAAAATTAGGTGCCTCTGCTGATGTTCGGGTTGGCGTATACTCGAGTATATATGGTACTTAATTTTTCTCCATAGTGTGCCTGCACTAGATGATTTATATATTTAATGTACCATATATACTCTAGTATAAGTCCACCCAAATATCAGCCAAGGCACCTAATTTTACCACAAAAACGGAATTAAAAATGTGCTGAAAAACTCAGCTTCTACACGAATATATACAGTATGCTCTGTTGCCTTGTTTACTGAGGTATCCTCAGACTTTAGCATCTCATCCAGTGTTTGATAGCTGCTGTCCTTATTTGTTGTTGAGGGAATTCAGGAGAATCCCAACATCAGATACTATTTCCTTTTCATTTTTCATAAATGGTATTTTTAATTTCAAAGCCTCAGGAAGAAAAATCACTGAACTATGGACACCGTATTTGTGGATGAAAATCTGTCAGTGCCGCTGAGAGTACTAGAATTCACAACTGTGAAATCTCTGCTTTTTATAATTTTCAGAATAAAATTTACTTTCTCTTAAAATTAAGCATGATATATAAAAACACGGTTAAAAAAACAAAGGGCCATGCTCAATTATCATTTTCCAAGTGGTGTTTGAAATTGTCCTCTATCATGAATAAGAAAATAAAATCCAAATTCACCATCTGTATATTTCACATGGTTCGGTGATCTGTTGTCGAAATGGAAATGTCAGTTGATGACTAGCCAATATTTAGCAAGAAAATAATTGTGAAATATCATGTAATTAAAGAAATCCTGGGTCATTTCCATTTGAGATTAAAGTATGAAAACATCTCTAAGTAGTGTAATTAGAGAGTGAGACTCAGTTTTAAAGACTTCGAATGAAAGTAACTTGGTAAAGTGCTGCTTTGTTACCACTGTTTTGAACTTGTCAAAACAAATGGGGAAAAAAATGATTCTTGTTTTTGAAAAGAAAAACTCTGATTTTTTTTTATGGTAAAACATCATGCACCTCCACTATTTTTCTAGCCGTAGATTTTTGGAACATCTGTGTCAATGAAAATATGAGAGATTATCGTATATATTTGAGTATAAACAGACCCAGATATCAGCAGAGGTACCTAATTTCACCACAAAAAATGCATTAAAAATATGCTGGAAAACTCGGATTATACACATGTATATACAGTAATTTAAAAAGAGGGGCTGGATGGAAAGGATACAGTTTTAAAGTTGGTTGTCAGATCCCCAATGCCAAGGACACACTGGAGCAAAAACTAGAGGCCGCCAAGGGCTACCCCATGCTGCTCTGAGGACACTCCATGGGGGAACCACAAAGAACAAACACCCCAGAAGGATGCTGAATAGACTTACAGTCTTGGAAACCCTATGAGGCAGAATTACTCTACCCTCTAACTCAAAACTCACTGTCTTCCCCAAAATTCTGATTCCTAGAGACCCTGGTAAGACAGGGCAGAACTGCCCCCAGTGGGTTTCCAACACTGTAATTAAATTTAAAAAATCATTGTTAATTAGATGGCATTTACAATTCAGATAATCATTTTTATATTCAATAAATTAAACTACTTGTCGAATTTTGAGAGTAGCTTGCCCTACCCGCTCACCCCCAACAGTTTTACTGACACATAATTCAAATATCGTAGAATTCAATAGTTCAATCACATCAAGAAGAATTACACAATCATAATCATAATCAATTTTAGAACATTTTTTTCATTCTTGCATTCTTTATATTAAAATCCCCATCCCTCCCCACCAACCTCTTCTGCCATACTCCTAAGGAATCATTTATCCAGTTACTGATGCTACAAATTTGCCTACCATGGATTTCACAGACAGAAAAAATATTTTAAAAAATAACACAGTAAAACAGATTTAAAACCTCAATTGTAAAGAAATCAGAAAATATTAAAAACTAGAACAAATTTTAAAAAGATAAAAAGTAAAAACAAATAATAAGGTGTAAAATTTTAACCCAATAATCTACTTCCCAATGTATTTACATGATAGGAAGGCAATTCACATCCCTAATTTCTGATCAGAAGAAATTAACTACAGGCTTAACCCACTTGTATTTCCCCTTCATTTTTTTTTTTAACTAAAAACTTCAAAATGGGTCAAAAGGGAGATTCAAATGATATTACATTTTGGCCTATGTTTGCCATAGTTGATTTTACAATAATATCTACCAGATAACAGGACTATCTATTCACATCCTTAAACTATAATGGAAGGAAATTCCCTGGAGCCTTAATCCATGTGTGGATTCAGCAAATGGATTTAGAGCTTCCATTGTCATCCATAACTTTCTGCAGACCAAGTGTTCACAAGGTAAGCTCTGCTACCTCTTCCTGCAAATTCTTGGTGGCAATCGAAAGCCCAGTCTTTTTCCATAGGAGCAGTTAGTAGATTCAAATGGCAGAACTTATGGTAAGTAGGACGACACATAACCACTACTCCACCAAGACTCCTTTACACACACACACACACACACACACATACACACACACACACACACTGTCCTACAGGGTCTCTATATGAGTTGAAACCGACTCAATGGTATTAGGTTTGGATGGTGTGTGTGTGGTTTTATTTTATTTTATTATACTTAATAGACAATGGCTTCCTATTTTGTCATATGTTATAACTGTCCACAGGGGCCCAAGGGGGTAGTGAGATGAGATTTCAAGGAACCGTCTACTCTAGTTTCTCTTTCCCTGGCCCATAAACACCATCTGGTCTATACCTGTGTTTGTAAATAAAGTTTTCAAGGAGCACAATCTCATCCTTTGGCCCACATCTTAAGCATGCATGATCTCAGACTAAACCGCTGAGTGGATTCGTTGCAATGAAAATCGTATGCTCTGTAAATCCTAACACATTGTCTGGCCATTTTCTGACAGTTGGCTGAGCCCTGCTCCACAGGCTTCAGATTTGCACCGGAGCTTGCAGAATGCCACGGGCACCAAAGGAATAGGTGATTGGTCTTGTGAGTTCCACAAAGCCTAACAGCTTCTGGAAAACAAAGGTGTAGGCACCACTCTGTCTAAATAACAAGCTTCTTAATCACCCTCACACTAGCCTACCAAGTCGAATTAGGGCAGTGGTTCTCAATCTTCCTAATGCTGCGACCCTTTCATACAGTTCATGTTGTGTGACCCCCCAACCATAAAATTATTTTTTCGTTGCTACTTCATAACAGTAATTTTGCTACTGTGATGAATTAGGCGACCCCTGAGAAAGGGTCGTTCCACCCCCAAAGGGGTCACAACCCAAAGGTTGAGAACTTCTGAATTAGGGAAAAGATTCAGATTCTACTTCCAAATAAATAAATGCATGCTTCCTTAGCCAGTTAATTTATTTTTTCTTTCAATGCATAGCAACATAATCATACAGAAGCGTTTTGGAATTTCTTGGTGATACAGCAAGTTCCTTTGCTTCCTTTCCCACACCCTTTTATCCTGTATCTGGAAGAAAAACCTTTTCAGCCAGAACACTCAATTACTTCCCCTGGAATGAAATAATGCAAATCCAGAAAATGTACAGCCTCTAACCTTAAACAGGTTCAGAAGAGAAAGGGTAGAAAGTAAGAGTGCTGATAAAGACAGGGAGGGAAAACGTTCTAACTGTTCAGGGAGGCCAGTGGTGGCAAAGTCTTAGTGTGCCGGAAGTATAAGCAGTCCCACCCTGTAAAGAGCAAGAGGCAGCTGGAGGCCACACCGGAAACCACAGCTCCTGGGGCTCTCCACCTGCACTCAGGCTAATCCCCGGTGACATTTAGAGCAACTGGGATCTCCCTGAGCACATACATTTCACAGAAATTAATAAAAGGCTTGAAACTACTCAAATGCACTGTTTCATTTCCTCAATGGGTGTACTTGAATGCGGACTCATACTTTGATATCTGAATATGTTTATGTTGACAATATAGATGCGGTATGCAGTACATCAAGACATACTTTGGTTCAGTGTGTTCAAAATCTAATGTTACAGAAGGGTGCAATCTTATAAATTATTAAATATATCATTAGTACCCATAAGATTTCTGAGCGTTTTATTCCCTTCCTGGCTCTTTTTCTTAAAAAATGTTAATTCCTGCTCTTTTTAGTCTTCTAAGGTAGCCTCTGATAATTGCTAATCAATTTATCTGAGATCAAAACAAGGTATTCCAAAAAGGCTGAACCATTTAAGGACATAGCAGGAAAAGTTGGCACATTGCAGAGGCTCGTCAAGTTAGCTATTTAAACATGAGAAGCTTAATCACACAATAATTTAAATAATTCATGAGGAATATTTCAAGTGAATATTTCAAAAGGACATCCAAAATTCAGGATGCCTAAAGATAATTCTAATTAAACATTCTCGCTCTTCAAACATTTCTGAGTACTGTCAAATACTTAAGGACACCGATTATTTTGTAAATACCAGATACAATAAATGTTTTAAAAGTATGATATTCAAGGGGCCCTGACTTTCTATGCAACACAAAAACATCAAAACAATGTATCAATAACAGTGAAAAACAAAACCTAACCATGACATCCTATCCCCTAACTACAATAAGCTTTATGTTCCCCAACAGTACACTGCTATGATTGGAGCAAAGTCAAACAACGTAGGTGGAGTAATTCTAACTCAGTCTGTTATCGGTGTTGTTGTTTTACTTTTGCTACAATTTGAGACAGAGAATAGTGCATTGGGTTGTATGGATAGAAAGCAACATTAAAGATTTACATATCAAGCATAACAAACTCAGCTACATGTGCTCCTCAGAATCTCATCCCAGCATTCCATATGGATATTACAAGTCACTCTTTAGGCCCAAGAACTGAATTTACACGATTTCCAACTAATAGGGTCTCTGTATGAAGATGGGAGAGACACTTTCTAGCAAGAATGGTTAGTTTAATTTTTTAGGAATGCATAAACTTGTTTAAAAAACACATTACTTATAAAATTGAAGAATAGAAAACACTACACACCCTTGAGGAGAGAGTTTGTCCAGCCACCCAGATTTCACCTTCTTTGCAGATGATCCATAAAAGCAGGCATAAGGAGTTATGGCACCGGAGGATGTGACTGACGAGGACACCGCACTTCCACTTGCTGAGCCACATGGGTAACTGTGCCGAGTAAGAGGGTCCAAATTGAATACTTTCTGAGTCCTAGATTTTGTTGCCTTTGAGCTTTTTCTTCTTAAACTGTGAAAACATTCCTCTACTGTTGAGTATTCTGATTCAGAAGGAGAGTCTGACTGAACATTATTTTTGTTCTCTCGAGGTATCCAAATATCTTCCACGTGGTCTTCACCTGGTTTTTCAGTTCTGTTATCATACATGCTAAATGGAAAGGGGTCGTGTTAGTTATCTCCCAGAATGCTACGCGATTCAGGAAGTCATTTATTTTTATTACACAGCAAATTATAAAACTTAAAGAGCAGGAAAATTTTAGAGGTGCTAATCAATTCACTAGCTATGCTAGAGCTTTAAATTACATTCTGTGGAATATAATATTCTAAAAGTGTATTTCTCCCTTAATGATTTCGTCTTCCAAACTTTCTATTATCATATGAGCATATCAAATATTTGCTAACGAAACACATTTTTTGTTCATTTTTTCCTAAGAAAACTACTTACCAAGGCAAAACATTAAGTGCTAGTTTGGGGAATTAAAGGATGAGTAGAAAATAAAATGAACATTAGGCAATGATCCAGTATGCCAAGTCCTAATAAAGCTGAAGGAAACACACACACACACACACATACATGAACACACACCCCCATAAACACACCACACACACACACACCCATAAATTTAAGTTGGTGCATTTCAATTCTGCTAATTTCATATGTGACCCAAATAACTAAATCATCGTCTAACCTCATGGCACTGCTACATTGCATTGTAAAGTGCCTGCACCTTTAGTATATCAAAGGGCCATATTAAATTATTCCTTTATATATGAACATAGCTTCTCATCTTTTACAGCACAGTCATGATCCACACCTATTTGGTACACTCATAATCATCACATATTTGTCCCTTTGAGGTAATGTGGGAGGGTTTAATTCGAGTAAGAAAAAAATAATTTGCTATAAGATATCACTTTATACTCAATTTACTGGCCACTGATATTAAACTATTTCAATGGGTGCTATTACTAAAACATTTTGAAACAATATATTTGATTTAACCAATGCAAATATTATTTCTTAAAATTCCAATATTATAATGGGTGAAGAAAGTCATTATTTTAGTGTCTTATTTGAAATTTTAATCCTGATCAATCAATGACCACATACCTTGGTTTGATCAAAAGAGAGTTGGTTTTCCTAGTTGTGTCCCCTTTAAGTATGTCGTCATGGGTCCAAAATTCATTCTTGATAGATTTCTTCTATAAAAATAAATGCAATTTTATTGATATTGCTGTTTTATTTTTATTTATGCAGTAATATGCTATGAAGGACCACAATATTTGGAAACAGTTTGGTTAACCAGATGTCTGATTAATTGATTTTCAGAAAAATCAATAAAATCTAGGAAACTATAGTGAACAGTAGCCTTTTATTGAATTTTTAAGTATTGTATATTAATGATTAGGTCATAAATTCAACTAATAAAAGAGACTGAACAATAAAAAAAGCCATTTTACTTTTATGCCCCATTCTTTTTTTCTTCCAAGTCCTTTATTCCCATGCAATCAAACAGTGAGCAGGCATAAGTAATATAAAGGAAAAATTGAGTCATAAGCCAAATAATTAAGACAGGTAATAGTTGGCAATAAGAACACTTCATAAGTCTACAGTTGAGTACAAGAGAAAAATAACATGCACAGGGTACTTTTGTTGTTGGATTTTGATATTTTACCTTTTGTTGTTATTAAAATCACTTCCCAGAAAATTAAGCTCACTGGCATCAGGTCAATGCCAACTCACAGGGACCACATAGAGCAAGGTAGAACTGGCCCCGGTGCGCTTCCAAGACTGACATTCTCTTTGGGACACAAACCCTGTCTTTCTCCCTTGGAGCTGCTGGTGGTTTCAAACTGCTGACTTTGTGGACCACAGCCCAATGTGTAACCACTAGACCAGCAGGGCTCCACAATAACTTTATCTTGTGGAAAACTTGAACAACTCCTTATTTATGTATCTCTTGATATTAAACTGAAAATATAATCTGATGACATATAAACTTACAGAATGCCATCATTACATTAACCAGAAATCTCACTGACTGGACAGTTCATTCCTCAATATCATACATTCTTCAAGCAGAATACAGGAAAATGGAGAGACAGACATAAGTACAAGAGCAAATAACTGAATATGGAAAAAAATTAAATGTATGGAACCAACCTTGGAATTTTCTAGTCTCTGGAGGAGAAAAGTCTCTCCATAAGGAAAAATGGAAGATGAATTCTCCTCACTTGAATCTTTTGGAAAAATTATAGGATAAGAATGCAGTGAATAATGTGAAATACTGTATTAAAACAGAAGTATGCGTTTATTTTAGAGCAATACCACAACATATCCTAGGCTTCATACTTTGATAATATAAAACTGAGCTCATAATTCTCAAGCCTAATCAACTTTAATTTCTTGATGTAGGACTCACTGTGTGACTATATTGATATGCTATATGGCTCTCCATTTCTTATGATCTGTACCATTTAAGTCCTTCACTAACCTCTAAGACCCCACATTAGAATAGGAGAACACTTTCCACATACAAATGAAAACTATAGAGGTGCCACTTTAATGTGAATTTCTAAATGAGAGAACTCTATAAATGTCAGAGAATTAATTTTCATTCCTTTACAACTTTAAATAAGCATTATAAAAAGGTAACTAACATAACTTCCAGATATTATGTTGTTTAATATATCAGAATCTACCTAAAATAATTTTTCTAACATCATAGGTAAGGGAGTGTCTATTACGATATTAAAGAGAATTTTTATCATCTGTAAAGTGCACTGATTCACAAGAGGAAAAAAAAACTCAACTCTTGCGATTTCTGCTATTATAAAAAGCCAAGATTTTGTCATCTTTTTGACCAGAAGAATGCTCCTGAACATGTATCAGCACACTTTTCAAATGGAAAGAAAGGCAGGATCAATTTACCAAAGCAATAATGCCAGACCTTTCCTGTTGCCATGGCAAAATTCCCTTCCATATAACTTTGTCCTGTAGCTCAGACTTTCAGCCCATTTTAATCCAGTAAATGCCTCTGATTGTGGCTAATGATAAGTGAAGCTTGTACAGAACATCGTTTAACATAAGCGTGTGCAAATTTCCAAGGAGGCTTAGGGCATATGACTCTTCTTTTATTCAGTCACCTTTAGAAGTGTCTGAAGTGATTTGAACACAGGTAGAAAGCTGTTCCCATTATTCCCTACTCTGCAGGTGGGCTGCCTTCTCAATCACAATTTTAACAAATTTAATTTTAACAAATGAGTGCTGACTATGTTACAGTCAAGTTAAATGCGAACACTTACTGTTCTGGGCCACAAATTTTCCAGCTGAGGTAGTTACATTTCTTCTTTCACGGAAGTAGCTTAAGGCAAAGAGGAGAACGGTCAGAATTACTACTCTCCTGAATAAGGATTAATGAATAGAAGCATATATTTGTTGGGGATTAAAAAAAAAATCCAAAACAGATTTGAATTCAAATGAGCAGAATGGTCAAATTCTACAACTTAATTTTCTACATAAACATAATTCATTGGATTATACAAGTATTTGCTTCTTGCCTCTATAATTGATGAGTTATTGTGAGCAGAGTAGCCAGTGGCAGCCTGTGAAAATAAACATAGCAAAACAAAGCCCACAAAGACATGTATGTGCATGTTGCTCATGGGTGCCACTGAGTCAGTTTGTCCCTTCTACATAGCATGTTGGCTGTACTTCTTCCGGCAGTCCACGATATATTCAATATTCTCAGCAACAACTATTTCAAAGGCAACAATTCTTCTCCAGTCCGTATTCATGGTCCAGGTCTGGCAAGCATATGCCACAATTGAAAATATTATGGTTTGGATCAGGTGTACCTTAATCCTCAAAGTGACACATTTGTTTCCAAACATTTAAAATAATCTTTTGAACAGATTTGCCCAATTCAAAACACTGATTTGTTGTGCAGCTAAGTAAAATGAAATCCTTGACAACTTCAATCTGTTCTCAGATTATAAGGATGAGGCTTGCTGGTCCAGTTGTGAAGATTTTTGAAGTCTTTGTGCTGAAGCATAATTCATACCGAAGGCTGCAATCTTTGATCTTCACATTAAGTGCGTCAAGTCTTCTTAAATTTTACTTTTAGCAAACAAGGTTGTCTAATCTGCATATCAAAAGATGAAGTCCTCAATCATAATGCCAAGTTCTTCTCTGCATAGGCCATTACTTAGGTGATGTGCTGAGCATGCAGACTGAAATAAATATGGTAAGGGACACACTCGGTGGCACACTTTTCCTGGTTTTAATCCACAGCATCACCTTCTTCTGTTAAAAACAAAACAAAACTCACTTCTGGTGTATGTAAGGTTTAGCATGAGCAAAATTAGCAAAATTCCATAACCACTGTTCTGGAATACCCAATCTTTTCAATGTTATCCATAATTTGATATAATGCACAGACATATCCCTTTGCACAGTCAATAAGCACAGGTAAAAGTTTTTCTCATATCCTGGCTTTTAGCCAAGATCTATCTGAAATCAGTAAATATATCCCTACTTCTACATCTTCTGAATCCTGCTACAATAGCTAACAGTTCTTGTCCATGTACTGCTGCAAGCATTTATCTGCAGCAAAATTAGCTTGGAAGTAATATCAATGATACTGGTATGTAATTTACCCATGATGTTAGTTCACCTTTCTTTAGAATAGGTACCAATATGAATCTCTCCCAGTGGATTGACCAAATCTTCCAAATTTCTTGGCACAGAAGAGTGAGCATTTCCACCATTGCACCATTGAAACATCCCATTTGGTATTCCCTCAATTCCTGGAGTCTTATTTTTTTGTTCAAAGATTCAATGCAGCTTGAACTTCTTCCTTTAATGCCATCAGTCCTTGGTCATATGTTTCCTCATGAAACAGCTGAATTCTGCTATAAGGACTCTATTTTTTTCATGATCTTTTGATGCTTCCTAAATCACTGAATATTATGGACCATAGGTGACTCTGCTGGTATTTGGAACATATATTGAGATCTCTCCTGAACTACAATGCTTTGTGTTCCTGGATATTATCTATACACCTATAAGTCTGATTAATATAATTACTATTCAAACTTACAGACCAACCACGAAAACTAGTGAAGAAATTGAAAAATTCTACCCACTCTTCTCTATAAAATCAATCAAGTGCAGAGTCAAGATTCACTGATAATTACTGGTGATTAGAATGCAAAAGAGGGAAAGAAGTAAGTGTTGGGCCTTCTTCTTATGAAAAATCAGGCCTTGGCGATATAAATTAAACTGGAAAGAACATGACTGAATTCAATTTTGTAAGAAAATCAACTTCCACAATGCAAATGCATTATTCAACACCATAAAATGGGACTATACAAGCGAGTCACCCAAATGGAATGAAGATAATCCAAACTGACTCCTCTGTGGGAAGAGATGATGGAGAAGTCCAATAACATCCACTTAACAAAGCCAGGTCTACTATAAACAAGACCATCAACTGCTCATATGAAAGTTCAGGTTAAAGCTGAAGAAAAGTTAAACAAGTCCACAAAATTTAAATTACAACCTGTGTATATCCCACTTGAATTTAGACATCATCTGCGAGTACAGTTTCAGCACATTGCTGACTAAATGACAGAAGACCTGACGCTAATTGTGATGCATGTATATTAAGTACATGAAGCAAAAGGTCATTTGAAAGACAGAAAGAAAAGATAAGCCCAATTTGGATGTCAGAAAAGATTCTGAACTTGCTCTTAAACACAGAGTAGCTAAAACAAATGGAAGAAATGAAGTGGAAAGTCTGAACAGAAAATTTCAAAAGGCAGGTGGAGAAAAGAAAGTAAAGCATCATAATGCAATGTGCAAAAACTTGGAGTCAGAAAATCAAAGGGAAAAATACTCAGCATATCTGAAGAAGAAATAAGGTCGACATCCAAGTATTTCAGGAAGCAGCATATGACCAAGAACCCAAGGTATTGAATCAGCAGAAGGAAAAACCCAAGACTACAGGGATTGACAGAACAGTGTTATTTTCATTGTTGCTACTGTTGTCAAGTGGTTCTGATTCATAGCTGCCCTACACACAAGAGAATGGGCCACCACTGGGCCCTGATGCCATCTCATGACTGACACTACATTTGAGCCACTGTGCCAATCTGTCCCACAGAGGAGCTTCTTGCTCACTGCCCCTCTACCTTAGCAAGCATGATGTCCCGTTGCAGACACAGGCCTTCTCAAGCTGCCCTTCGAAATTTTCTGTTCAGCTCTTTGTTTCCTCATTTCCTCCATTGGCCTTGGTCACTCCATACTCCAGACTAAGTTTCAGGGTCTCGTCTGACATTTACTTGGATCTTTCTTTTTCTGTCTTTTAAATGACCTTTCGGTATTCTTTATCAGCACCATCATCATCCTAATCCAAATGCATCAGTTCTTCACTAGTCTTTCTGATTTGGGGTCCAGTTTTCATAGGCACAGAAACTCACTGCCATTGAGAACTGTATGGGATTCCGAGGGTGTAACTCTTTATTGGAGTGGACAACCTCATCTTTCTCTAAAGGTGCTGCTAGTGGTTTTGAACTGTTGACCTTGCAGTTAGCAGCCCAATTTGTAACTACTACGTCACCAGAGCTCCACATGCATATGAGGCAATTTTAAAACACTCTGGCTTGGTTCAGGCATACCTTAGTCATCAAGGTGATGAATCTTTATCACTTCATCACTGCCCTTTAACACTTTCTTCTAGTGCAGCATATTTTCCCAGTTCATTCATCACTTCACTTGATTTCCTAACAGGTTCTTCAATCCACCTTATGAATTATGTATTATGAGTATAAGTAAAATGAAAACACATCAATTGTAAGGATGGTGCACGATTGGATAGTGCTTTGTTATATTGTACACAGGGCACTATGAGAAGGAAACAACCTAAAGGCAATTAATAACAATGTACAAGTGTGTGAGCATGCATGCCACATGTATAGAATTTGGTACACATACATACATATATACACATATATAAATTCAGGGTTCTTATACCATACGTAAAGGTAAAACACATGAAAATAGTAGCAAAATAAGGTGGTGGGCAGAAATCCAAATACAGTGTTGTAAAGTTTTAATTATTATTGTTTGAGGGTAAAATATTTAGAAATAGATATATAAATCAAAAGGTAATTTAAAATATAAAAAATGTCATTATTGGCTTATACAATGTAGGAAATGCACGCAAGAATAAGGACCTAGAAAAATTAAAAGTGAAAGGATGGGGAAATTTACTATACAAATATTAAGCATAGGAATGGTAGATCTTATAAAATAAAATAGAATTCAGATTTAAAAAAAAACACAACTGAAAGAAATCGGAGCATTTAATAATAAAAAAAAGATAAAATTGTTAAAAAAAAATAGAATCCCAATATGTCAACAGTTTCAAACCTTACAAAGCAAAATCTGACAGATTTAAAAGGAAAAGATATATAGCTAATTATATTTGAAGATTTCAAATTCATTTGTCAGCAATTGATTAAAAATAGACATCTAATAATTACAGATATAGAAGAGGTGGCCAACACAGTACGTTGTCATCTATCTCAACCTAACTGACAAACTGGAAATGACACAGAAGAGAACTCTTTACAACTGCACGTACACATTCATCAAGACAAACCAGCTCTCAGTGGACTGATTTACAGAGATCGGACATGTGTAGTATATGTGTGTGGCAATGACAGAACTACATTAGAAACCGAGTATAGAAACAAAACCAAGCTTGTTGCAATCCAGTGGATTCCAACTCATAATGACGCTACAGCACAGGACAGGGCTGCCCTGTGGGGTTTCTGCGGCTGTAAATCTTTACAGAATATTGCCACAGCTTTCTCCCATGGTGCAGCAGGTGTGTTCAAATTGGAAAGGGAAAGAGATTGTTAAGAAATGGTCTATGGACACAGTGTAAAGATATGCTCCACCAGGCTTTATTTAAAAGTTATGATAATTCATCATAATCTAGATAATATTAAGAGTTTTGCAGATTTAATTGTACTTGCATTGACAATCAGCATCTGTGGAAGGAACAATCATAAAATGAAATGACATATTGTACCGGTCAAATTTGCTGCAAAAGAACTCTTGGAAGTTTTAAAATGCCAAGATGTTGCGTTGATGGCTAAGGTGTAACTGGCTTATGCCGTAACTTTTATAATCACTTCATACGCATGCTAAAGATAGAGGGGGAAAGTGGTGGGCTGAAGAGCTGATCCACTCCAACTATGATGTTGGAAAACATTTTGACTGTAATGTGGACTGTCAACAGAACAAACTTTCCTAGAAGAAATACAGCCCAGAATGTTCCATAGAAGAGACAAT